TAGAAATGGTTTTGTAGGTACAAATGATGTTTTGGAGTTGGGAAAGAATGTTAATGCTGGTTTTGAGGATAAACTTGGAGTTGGAGTGAAAGGTGAGAAATTGAAACATGGTGATGGAGTTAGTAATAATGTTAAATCGGGTAAGAAAGGGGCGAGCAAGAAATCTAAATGTGGAGAGAAAAAGCCGGGAGATAGCCCACCGAGTTTGAATGATGATGAGAATGTCGGGGTCAGGAAGTTCACGAAATCCGGCATGAAATTTATGAGGGGTGAGGAGTTGAAGAGGAAACCCCCGATATCCCCGAGGAGTAGGTGGGCGAATGTGTTTGGTGACGAGCTCGAGAATGGAAGTCGAGGAGCTCGTCGAGCCATGCCCGGGTGATTTTTGAGTTGAAGGGAAAGTCGAGCTCACGACCTTAAACCGAGCGCTTCGTGGGAGGCAACCCACGTTTTTATTTTTCTTTTTCTTTTCTTTTTCATTTCCTCTTTTGTTCCTTTTATTTCTCAAAAAAAAAAAAAAAAATCGAGAGCTCGTGCCGACCTGCTCGGCAATCCCGACTTGTTAGGGCCGAGCCACAAAAAAAAAAATGAGTGAAATCGAGTTTTTATAGTGTTTGTAAGTTGAATCGAGAATTTTGAGTGAAAATTGTCAAAATATGCCTAAGTATGAATTTGGCTAAGGGGATTGGATTTGCACTAAGGAAACCTAAGGATCATATCACTCGCCCGCGAATCAGTTTTCGCGCCCTGCGACCCCGAGCTGGCAGCCCGCGGACCTCACTTCGCCAGCGAAATATGCGACTCCCAGGTTTCAGCTCCATCCGGCTCGCATGCCCAAAGTCCACTGGCGCCCAGCGAATTTGAACTCGCGCGCGAGACGATTCTCGCGCCCTGCGAAACTAGCTTGGCAGCCTGCGGATCCCAACTCGCCAGCGAGCATGCCAATGCCCAGATTTCAGCTCCTCAACGCTCGCTAGCCGAAAGCAAGGTCGCGCCCTGCCAATGCCCACTCGCCAGCGGAAGGATGTTCGCGCCCAGCGGAAGTCGCGTCGCAGCCCGCCAACCCAGTTTCGCAGCGAAGTGCGCCCACACCCATTTTCAGCTCCAAGTTGTTCGCTTGCCCAAATGACTTCCACGCCCTGCCAACTCCAGCTCGCCAGCCAACCCCAAGTCGCGACCTGCGAAACTCGGCGAGCTCCAACCAGCCATCTTCTTCCCCAAGACACCGGCGCCGCCGCGCACCACCGCGAGCCACCGTCCGCCGCCACTTTCTCCGGCCAACTTCCTCCGATCATGACATATCATATATCAACACGAAGCTCTCGTCGACGCCGACAACATATCCGGAGCTCAAAGAAAAATTCCGGCGAGAAGGCTTCCGATTTTCCGGCAAAAGCTCATAGATCTACAAATCACTTCAACCTTCAAATCCAAATTGCCGGCGACTCACTTGGAGTTTCAAAAATCCGAGACCACTCCCGGACTCCTCTCGCCGAGGCGCACCTTTTCCGTCCACCGTCGCCGGAATCCGGCGAACTTTTCCGGCGACCATTTTTTCCGGCGAATGAGCACCCACCGAGCTTCCGGTTAGTATTTTTGAGCTTTTCTTGTCATATATCGTCGACCCCTATCATTGGGTACATTTTTCGGTGACCGGAGCTCCACTTTCACCTATCTCTCTACTTATACACTCCGGCAACCATTTTTCTCGACGTTTTTCAAGGTACAACACCTCGAACTTGGTTTGTATTTTCGTATTTGCATTATCTTCGTTGTGCTTGATTACTACTCTTGCCGGAGTAGTCGTGATAAATTATGTGGGTTAGACTTGTGTGATAGGCACGTCTTGCCGGGAGTGCCAATTTTCGTGTTGTTGCCGGATTGTTGAGTTTGTAGGTTTCTACTTACGGCAAGCGCCGGTAATCGATTCGTGCGTTGATTCAAAAGAGGAGTTGGTTGTGTTATATTATTGCACGTATCGTTGACGGCCCCGTGGCCCGATATTTTGAGCTTTAACGTATACGTGTGTCTTCGTCGAGTTCATGGAAGCACGGATATCATTTCTCCGAGACACATACATATGGCCCGTATGATTTTATTGGTTTAATGCCCAACCGTTTGGATGGCTTCATTTTGAGCTCGATGGCTTTCGGATTATTTTCTCTATTCCCATCGGACGATCACCATTAGACACACGGTGGTGCACCACCGTGTAGAGTACGCATTTTCTTTTCCTA